CGTTCTTCATCGATTGGTAATTCGAGTGATCCACCGCTTGAAGATGTATCTTTGCCACCGTGGGACTTTTAATAAGTATCCTAAATCTGCATTGAGAGGGTTTGAAAACAATTGTATGCAGTTTATAAAAACCATAGTTGTCTTTACTTAGTTAGGCGAAGAAGTGTAAAACTTCCTTCTTTAAACCTTGCCGTCAGCATAAGCTGAAGACTTGATCAGGTACCAAGTATGTAGCAAGACAGGCTTTTCATTATAAACTACAATTGTTTTGCAAAAGAAATTATGGCTATCGTTAGATAACCCTCACTCTTTGTTGCATTGGATAATGAAAGATGGATGTATGAATGAACGAATGTAATGCAAGTTAGAATCATGTTGCAATGGCTAAATGTTTGCATTAAACATTCACAATTGCGACTCTAATGCAAATACAATTCAATTGCATTCACCATATTAGCATCTACAATATCACTATGCAGAGTGTTTGATTGTTTGAAGGTTGTATTTCTCTTATAATAAGAGGGTAATACGTTAATGATCCTTCCGCAGGTTCACCTACGGAAACCTTGTTACGACTTTTACTTCCTCTAAATGATCAAGTTTGAACATCTTTCCAGCACAATCCGACCACTAGTTTCCCAATGGTCTGGATTGACCAGTCCGAAGTCCTCACTAAATCATTCAATCGGTAGTAGCGACGGGCGGTGTGTACAAAGGGCAGGGACGTAATCAACGCAAGCTAATGACTCACGCTTACTGGGAATTCCTCGTTCATGGGCAATAATTACAATGCCCAATCCCCATCACGAAATGGGTTCAAGCGGTTACCCACTCCTTTCGGAGCAGGAAACAGTATGCACGATGACCACTTCAGTGTAGCACGCGTGCGGCCCCGGACATCTAAGGGCATCACAGACCTGTTATTGCTCTGTTTCGTGCGGCTGCGAGCGCCGCTTGTCCCTCTAAGAAGTCCTTACAGTGCTACAGCATCCTTACCCTAGCCAATTCTGTAGGCTAATAGCAGCAGAGCCCTCAACAGCCGAAACCATCAAGAGATACTACCACCCACAGGTTGACTAAGGGGGAGTACTGCAGTGTAAACTGCAAGTCTATTTAGTAGGCTAGAGTCTCGTTCGTTATCGGAATTAACCAGACAAATCACTCCACCAACTAAGAACGGCCATGCACCACCACCCACTGAATCAAGAAAGAGCTCTCAATCTGTCAATCCTCTCAGTGTCCGGGCCGGGTGAGTTTTCCCGTGTTGAGTCAAATTAAGCCGCAGCTCCACTCCTGGTGGTGCCCTTCCGTCAATTCCTTTAAGTTTCAGCTTTGCACCATACTTCCCCCGGAACCCAAAAACTTTGGTTTCCCGGAAGCTTCCATTCGAGTCATGAAATTAGTTACTCAGAATGATCGCTGGTTGGCATCGTTTATGGTTAGAACTAGGGCGGTATCTGATCGCCTTCGAACCTCTAACTTTCGTTCTTGATTAATGAAAACATTCTTGGCAAATGCTTTCGCTGTAGTTTGTCTTGCGACGGTCCAAGAATTTCACCTCTAGCGCCGCAATACAAATGCCCCCGTCTGTCCCTCTTAATCATTACCTTGGATTCTTAAGACCAACAAAATAGAACCAAGGTCCTATTCCATTATTCCATGCAAGATCATTCAAGTTAAGGTAGTGGTACGCATCATATAGATGGTTGACCATACCGTTTTTAGGCACCTCTTTCGAGGTTTTGGACGCCTGCTTTGAGCACTCTGATTTTTTCAAGGTAAAAGTCTCGATCGCTTGAATCAACACTCGGTAAAGAGCATTGATAGCAAATATCGAGCAATTTTCTGTCTAAACACTATGAATGTAACCACCAGGAAAGAGGAATGAAGGTTCAAGCTAGCATCCGTAGACACAAGCAAGAAACCTAACATCACCATCTAACCCTTTAATCAGTGGACCCCATAGGTTCGACTGAAATCCAACTACGAGCTTTTTAACCGCAGCAACTTTAATATACGCTATTGGAGCTGGAATTACCGCGGCTGCTGGCACCAGACTTGCCCTCCAATAGATCCTCGTTAAAGGATTTAAATTGTACTCATTCCAATTACGGGGCCTCAATAGAGTCCCGTATTGTTATTTTTCGTCACTACATCCCCGTACTGGGATTGTGTAATTTGCGCGCCTGCTGCCTTCCTTAGATGTGGTAGCCGTTTCTCAGCTCCCTCTCCGGAATCGAACCCTAATTCCCCGTTACCCGTTACAACCATGGTAGGCGCATAACCTACCATCGACAGTTGATAAGGCAGTTGCTTGAGGGATACATCGTCGGCTCAGAGGCCATACGATTTGCTCAGTTATTCAGAGTCATCACAAGAAATGCAACCGAAGTTGCTAAGATCCCCACTGCTAGTCCTTAGACACCAACTTTTGCACAAATTGCTGCCAAGCCAAAGTCCAAATCTGCACCACCTAAACAGCGATCCTTCCGTCAGCAAGCTGAGGTTGGAACACTTGTTCATGTATTAGCTCTAGAATTACCACAGTTATCCATGTAAAAAAGAATATCCGAGGAACCGTAACTGATTTAATGAGCCATTCGCGGTTTCACTTTATATCCACCCCGCCGCAGGAACCAGCTGCTAATAGCAGTTTTGAAGGTTATTTTTGCGACGGCGATCTTTATTTGCCAAAAATATCCCGCAAGCAGGACTTATGTCTGAACTCCAAGGAATAAAGCAGGCTGGTGCGCATTAAGAGGTTTACGACCCTAATCCATTCATATTACATTGCGCCGTTTATAACGACGAGTCAATAAATACATATCATAGCGCCTCCCAGTTAACACTGGTCAGCTTTCGTAGAACATCACTACTACCAATTACCACGGTGGGTCCCATTGGTCAGGGTCGTACAGGTATCTGTGAAACACATACCATTGTACTTCCAACACAGTACTTCCAATAAACTCTAAGATGTTAAGAGACCCATTGGTCAGGGTCGCAGCACGAGACTGCTACCTATATTATGGCTCAGGTCAACCAGAGGGACACTTAGTATTCGCCAGCTAAAGACCCAGTAATGATCAATAGCCTAGTGGGGACATAGCACCCTCCCACCACGATGAGGTGGTCCATCGCGAGAGGGTAATTTAATGAGCCATTCGCGGTTTCACTTTATAAACAGTATGTACTTAGACATGCATGGCTTAATCTTTGAGACAAGCATATGACTACTGGCAGGATCAACCAGGTAACTTGATGTTTTAGCAAAGTAAAATGCTAAACAAGTTGTTTTGCAGCTATAAATACGATATCCTCAGATAACAACCAGCAAGTGGATGCTAACTTTAATGAGGTATCGAGATTTATGTCGTGCATT